CTTTTTCAATATATAAAAAAATAAAAGAATGGAAAAGATTCTTTGTATTAATATTTGCATCATGTATAAAATCAACTTGGGAAGGAAGAATCTATCTAAGCTAAGTGATTTCCAATACTGAAATTACATGTAAATATAATGAAATTGCATTTGTGAAGTGAGGCCTTTTCTCTTACATTTAATGACCAGGTTTCCTGAACCATCCCCTTTTCCCTTCCGCATCTTTCCAGTGTTGTGAACCAATGTTCAAGTTACAAATATGCTGAAAATAATCAAGGATGGGTGAAATGTGCATGCTATTTCCAAAGGCTTTTTGAGAGGGAGTGAGGGTGGGAGGGGAATAGGCACTCTGCCGATTTTAGCAATATTCTGTAAATATTTCCCTACCATTCAGTTGTGGAGATGAAAGAGATGCTAGATATCATCTGCCTGAACTTCCAAACTACATATGAGGAACCAGATACTCTAAGGTTGTTACATAGCAAGCTAGTGGCAGAGCTAAGTCTCAAATCCAAGCTTCGTAAGTCCTAGTCAAAAAGGTCCTTGGTCTATAGTATGCTTTTCCCATCCACTGGAATTCAGCCAGGGACTCTAAAATTTTAGATTAGGGTTTGGGAAGAAAGACTTTACAGAATCTTCTCTACAACTTCATCTCCCATTGCTTTACCCACATTCGTTCTTATTCAGCCAGACTATCCTCTCCTAGGCCTCATGTCCCTAGTCTTAGCCTCCCCTGAGAAAATACTAGCCTTAAATCTTCAAGGCAGATGAGATCATTGGCAACCTATTATGTCTGCTTCAGCTCCAGGTTTAATCTACCCTACTGGGGATAGATGACAGTGAGCTTGCCCTTGGAGCTGGCATTACTCTCCCTCCTCATTCTTCCTAGACTATCTCATCAGGCATTTTGTTCAGTAAGAAGCTTGGCTCTGCTTCTCTGGTCACATGCAACATTCAGATAATGCTGGCAGTCAGAATTAGTCCTGGAGGCTTAATAAAGTGATACTAAGGCAAAGAGGCAATTCCTATCAGCATATCTGTCACTGCGTAGGCATAATGAGTTTCATGCCAACCATGGGAGCATAATCCCACATGCCTAGTTTCAATAAGCCAGGTGGGCACAATCACTTCTAATTATCCTGGTTATTGATTTTTAGCATGGAGGAAGGTAACTAAAATCATGTAAAAACAGTATATCAACTGAAAAGCACCTATTTTTCCCCCTGATGATCTAATCAGAGACATCAAGGCAGAGATACTGCACAACTACACAACTACCCATGCACACACAGACACATACGTATACCCCACTACATCCTCACCAACCCATTCAGATACCCCTACTAAGATTCTCAGATACACACTAGTGCACACATTTTAGACACTGAGACATACAACAACACACAGTAAAACATTCTCTCAATAACATATTCAGGTATTATTATGTAGCCTCATTAACTTCCTCTATATGCATGCAGGCACCCCACTCCAAGTCCATTTCTGACCACTCCACCTTAGCCTATTGTTGGCAAGTACAGAACTCTCTAATTTGGAGTGAGAAGGTCCCTCAGTCCCTCATAGCAGACAAACAAGAGTCTATTTATCTTCGAAGGCAAAAACCCAGCTCCCCAAACACCAAAGTATGTCAGCACCACATGTTCATAAAAAAAAAAAAAAGATGCAATTCTCAGGTGACGATTTAGCTAACACATAGCAGCAAATGACTGTTTTTTTCCCATTCCTGATTAAAATTAAACAGATGGATCAACAACTACAGTATTCTCACTCTTGAAATGCATGCATCCAGCTTTTTTTTAATATATAGAAACTGAAGACCAAGTAGGGTTTCTAATTCAATCCACACTGAAACATAACTGCAACCGAGATTTTTTAAATGACTGCATTCCCTTTTAGCAAAGGGAAAAAAAATACGTTGCCATTATCAGGAAATGAGAGGAGGGCTGGAAGAACCGCCATGGGCGGTTCGGGGATAAAGCAACAGGGCACTGGGGAGACATTTTTCCAATCTCAAAAACCTAGCTCTCATGGAACCCATATGGATCTCCATGTCTGGCAGACATAGAGAAAAGCCAACCAGGGCTCTTTTTTGTCATCAACGACATCAATAAGTGTTATTATTACTGTTATCTGCATCTCGTATAGCAGGATGCTGGTACTTACCCCAGAAGATGAGCACGAGGGAAGCCAGGGGTAACAATCTGTTGAAGGCAGGCATTTTCTTCTGCGGGTGTCTTCCTGGGCTAAACCGAGAGATTCCCTCTGTCAAGAACTGCTCCCTCTTAGATACTTTCGAGGAAACCTTTTGGGACGAACTGCCCCAAGGGGGCGACTTTCTGACTGAAAGAAGGGCCAAGCGCCCGTGACTGGGGAGACTCTGCGGGATTTTTGAGCTGGGCTGGGGTTTCCGCTGGAAGCCGCCGGAGCAGACCGCCTCAATTCCAGGGAGCGGATCCGCAGCTCCTCACGCTCTCCGGAGAGGGCGTTGCTGGCATTTGGCTCAGCACCACGGACAGTACCTTCCCCGCCCACCCCGGAACTTTAAATTCCAGTAGCTCCGCTGCTTCTCTGGTTTGCACCCCAGTGAAAGCTCAGCTCGGAAGGGAGCGGCACAGCCGGCTCTAGGCGGCTGGGCTGTCGAAGGGGTCCATGTTGATCTACCTCTCACCTCCCTTAGGAATAACTACGCTCCGACCAGGATATACCAAGACCCGGGAGCTTCGGCTTCATCTGCCCTGGCTGGCTTCTCTAGCTGGGCGTGCCCCACACCTGAAGCCACCAGGGCCGTCTCAGCTACAAAAAATTCTTTCCGTCTGTGCCGTCCACAACTGCCCTCGGCGGCTTAAGTGATGGTGGCCCCTTTCCCTGAGCTCGCCCGCGATCGTGTCGGGGGCCTGACCCTGGGTGGCGACTGGCCAGCCAGTTGCCCTTCTCCCTGACCGTGTGCGCTCAATCAGCTTTGACATGCGCAGGCGGCTTTCCACCCACTACCACCACTACGGACCCACCCCTCGTGCACACACTCTCCACCCCCAAGAAGGCGTGCCCCTCCCAGGGCAGAACACAGCGCCAAACGGGGGGTGGGAGGGGCGAGGCTCGGAGTGGCGCAAACACCTCCAGCCCTGGCGATTTCTCAGCTAGCTCGCTGTCTCCAGGTCTCCCTTTCACATCTTCATGCCTCTCCCCAGCACCGGCAACCTCTGCCACTAATTCACACTCTCCAGGCAGCCCCACTTCTGCTCCTGCACAGAAATGTTAGCCTGCAGCTCAGGGAAGGGGAGGGCCAAATCCCTTTCAGGCAATGATGTCATCTTCAATGTACCCAGTACATGGTTCCGGGCTTCTCTCCCCCAACCCCACCCCATTGCCTCCTATTGTCCCAGTCTATCTTTTGTCTAGCCTTGAGTAATTGGTTCCGGGCACACGGAATGCAGCAAGATAATCCCTGCTTAGGAAAAGAAGGGGTGAGGCGCACCTGTTCCCATGTTCACCTCACCTAGGGAAGCGATCCAAATGTCAGCCCAACAGCGGTGTTGCGGATGCGGCAATTCCCTCTTGCTCGAATTACCTTTACTTTTTTTTTTTTTTTAGTTTAGCTTAAAGGCTTGTAGGTTGTGGTTTGGTTTCTTCCAACTATTAACCACTCCCTTGTCCTAGCAACTGTTCCATTGCCCCGCCCCATCTCTGGAAAGGAAACCTGAACCTTTAAATTCAGTTATAAACTCAAATTGACATAACAGATTAGGAATGCCTGGAACTGAAGTGAAAGATTAATACAAGAACCTCCTCTTCTCATTCCCTCCTGCTCCCTTTCCAAAAGGGGAAGCTTAACACTGACATGCCAAAGATGAATGGCAGAGTAACAGCTGACTGTAAGTGAACCACACACAGGAAATTCTCACTAACATATCACAGACCAATAGAATGTCTCCAAGATAGAATCTTCTTGGGCAGGGAGCCACCAGGCCATGAACTATATGTTGTTTTGAAGATCAGTGTGTTAGACTTGGATGGGAACTCAAAGCTGATGTAATTCAATCTTCTTTCCAATTCAAGAATCCCCCAAGAACATTTCTGATGAACAGGCTTGACTTTTTTTTCAGTGATGAGACTTACTACTTCATAAGTTAGTCTCTTCTATTGTTTAGGAAGTTCTTCTCTATATTCGGTTAAATTTTGTGCATTCCTTCTTCATTCCCAAACTCCATTAAGTGGTCCTCAATCTGTTATCTTTAAAAGAGTTATACCCACACCCCACCCCAGACATTTTGTTTGGGACTAAGCTTCATAAGTTTCTCTTGGTATAGTTCCTAGTAGTTTCCAAGGCTTAACTACCCTGACCACTATCTCAGATGGATTTTTAGTTTGTCAGCATGATTCTTAAAGTGACATCGAAAACAAGAACTGATTCTTCCCTGTGTGGGGTGACCAGCATAAATCCAAGGGAATTATGGCCACACTTGCTTTGGAGGGTATGTCTGTTCGAATACATTTACAGCTGTATCTCACTCATAATGAGTTTATGGTCAATTAAAATTCCTAAGTATTTTTCACTCAATCTGTTGCAGAGTTATTTTGTATTTATACAGGGGATTTTGGAAAAACTATTTTGAAATCAGCATTTATGGCTGTAATAATTTATTAGTTTCAACCAATTATTATATTATCTTAATACTTTTATTGGATACAAATTAACTAATATAACATATCTCTCTTTTTTAGCTTTGTTTCATCCGTAGGGATCCAAATAAATTTAAAAAATAGGTGGAAAAAAAAGGAAGAATTTTTAAGCATGATTTTAGAGCACATTTTAAAGCACATTCTAGCTTGACAATGAGCTTCTAATTTGACTTCTTTGGTATGGTTGTCCAAACACAAATAAATACTCAAACATATTTTCTATGTTTATAGCATAACACAATCTGAAAATTTCAAAATGTATATGTGAGCCACGTTAGACTTATAATGAGAAAAGAAGTAAAATCAATTGTTTGCATTTACATGGGAATAGATTTTTCAGCAATGTATTTCAAACCATTCCAAAGTGAAATGAATTACCTTTTGTTATGTTCAAGCAGTTGTGATCCAATTAGTGGAATGTTGAAGAAGAAAAAAAAAACACCTATAAGTTAGAAATTTGAAATCAATTACTGATGAAATTCTAATTATCTCTGAAATTCTATGATTTTATTGAAAGCTTACCCAAATACATAGAGCTGACTAAAATATTTTTAGTCTGATAATTTTATCAACCACCAGCACTACCAACACTACCACCACCAACACCAGCACCATCATCACCACCACAATCACCAAACACTACCACCACCACAACCTCCATTACCACTACCACAGCAAGAATGGCTTAGTTTTATATAATTTCTTCTCACATCTATTTGTGTAGATTCCTAATAATCATGTTCTTTTCTAAATATTTACCAACCCAATTGTAAATAGTCACTTTGAGGATTTTACATGAGGTTTTAAGAACAATGTACTTGCCTCTTTTCTATAGAAAATAGGAACATATGGTCTTTTCAGTCTTCTGACATTTTCCTTGAGTTTTGGCTCTTAGTCATTTTTGTAAGTACCTTAACTTATCTGAAGTAATTTGGCCTTTTGTGAGAGTTTTTTTTTTTTTTTTAACTCATTTTATAAGATTTATTATGCCTTCCTCTTTTCTACCTTTTTGGCCTCAATCTTTCCCTTTAAAATTTTTTTTTTTTTTAATTTTACCTTTTCCAGTTGATGGTCATCTTTTCCTTAACAGTTGATGGGTAAAACCATCTTTTAGTCTCCAAACAGTAGCCAGAGGCACTCTTTGTATTCTATAAAATCACACATCTTTTCTGCTTAGAGATCTTCAATGACATCTCATTGCAACTAAATAAAATCTAGACTCCTCATCATAGCCTAACAAGGCCTGCCCTGAGCCCTGGCTCTCTCTTCACACTCATGTTTACCATTCTCTGTCCACAATGTTCCACTTACACTTAATTAAAAAAAATTTACCTCAAACTTATCAAGCTTTTTCTCATCATAGAACCTTGTACTAGATATCCCCTCTGCCGAGAATGTTCTTCATACTACGGCTGGTTTCTTGTATTCTGGTCTTGCCTCAAATGACTTCTCTTTAGAATGACACTAGTCACTCTTTTTAAACTGGTTTTCTGCTCATTCCCTCACCTAAAGCTATTCTCTATCTTATTACCCTGTTTCTTGTTCTTCATATCTTCTCCCATCACTTCATATCTTACTCTCATCACTCTCATCAGATAAAAACTTCATGAAGTGGCCTCTTTGTTCTGTTCACTGTTGTCCTCCTATACCTGGATTGGTACCAGGAAGATATTAGATCCTCTATGAATCTTGAATAAATGAATAAATGAATGAATGAACAAGTGAGAATAGTGTGGAAAGAATAAATAGTGAAGGACATAATGAATAGAGAGAACAGAAAAAAGAATAGTCAAAGAAATGGTAGAATATCCCATAAGGTGCACTGCCACAGTTGACAAGGAAAGAGAGAACCTCTAGACTTGAGGGACACTCCTGCTTAGAGTGGACTCCAGCTAATTATGCTCAGAGGTTGAGAAAGAGAATAGAGAATTTGGGGCCTGAAGTATTCAGAGGTTTTGATAGAGGTAATGACCCTGATAAAAGAAAAAAGAACAGCATCTGAGATATGCAGGAAGAGGTTAGTTTTCCTGAGGAAAAAAAAAATCTCTGACATCTTTTGATACATATATTGACCTTGGTAAAGCAAGAAGCAAAATTATCCACTGAGAGTAGGGGGTGGAGAAGGTCAGGGGAACTGGGGACAAGGAAGATGATCTTGAATCTCTGTGGACCCCTTCTTGATGCATAGAAGAATGCCAAGAGAAGCATTTCAAGATCAACACATAACCTGAACTGAGTCAAGATGTAGAAATCAGAGCCAACCAAAAGCAAGTCAAGTGCCCTGCTTTTGCTATTCTAAGTGGATTTTGAAAAATAGTGCACACCCCATGGGACAAAAAGAGGGAAGAAACATGTTTATTTTAAACTGTGGCCAAAAACACATATGGGGCTGAGAAATATCAGGCTTCCACAAACTGTTCTCTCATCCTGTCTGCCAGTTGTGTGGCTACTGTCACTGGCTAAGGGAAGTTTGGGATTAGAACAGGAAACAATGACATGATGACCAGACTATGCATTCCTTTCCTGGATCTGCACATGGCAGAGAAATCGTAGGTCA